TCTTCAAATTGGATGAACCAGCTTGTGTATTAATCATTACTGTATTTAAAAGGAACTACTGCCTGCAAGATTGTAGCACTTTATAATAATAGCATATTATATTCCGTGTTTTCTAAGAATAGGGCTTAAAAACACAAAAGAGTTAATTGATCATTTTTACAGATCATTTTGCGTCCTTTTTTTTATTGGGGGGAAAAATTGGCTGGAAAGTCAAATTATTGCCTAACAGCTGCAGCACAATGAGTTTTAACGGCGGAGTGAAAATGTGTCCACGCTAAAGACATCGGAGGGTCTGCAATGCGACACAAACAAACAATAAACAAGGAAGCAAACAAATTGACGCATGCTTGAACACTAACACACACACACACACACAAAGCAATCTGCTGTGCTGCAATTAGCTTGTTTTAAAAGAAACAAATAACAGTAATTTCAACCGAACAGCATCCATAACAATTCACCGCTGGAGGGGAGCAGCTTTTTGAGCACACAGGATCCACTCATACATACGGATACTAACGTGCACTAGCACACACACACACACACACACACAAACGCAGTGGTCTGAGTGCAAGGATGCACATGCTAACACACACACTGAGCTCCAGAGCAGTAGAAAGGGTCAGCTCAGTGTCTGAGTTATTATGTTACTTTGTTCTGCCTCAGTGGGAAGGCTGCACCCCGCGCGCACACACACACACACACACACACACACACACACAAAGAAGTATTATCACCTATCAACACTCAAGGTGCAAATATAAAAGGGTTGGTTTGTTAATGGATTGAAAGAGATGAATAAAAGATTGGGTTTTAAAAAAAAGGATGGTAGGATGATTGGCATCTGTGTGCAGAAGTTTGGCGAGGAGAGCCGGGGTCGCGTCTCTCCCTCTTTGCATGACCCCTCCCTGCCTCTATGCATCCCTTCCTTTCTGTCTGGGTGTGAAACAATGGCGGGAAACATCTGCGACTACTGGGTAATTATGGCTGAGCCAGAAACCAGCGGCACGCCGACGAGCTGCAGCTCCCCGCAATTAGTCGTGGACGTCCATCTCCCCCCGATGACCAGCGCGTTGTCTCTCTAGAGAGGAGAGGACTGATCTGAGGGGAAAGAACGCCACTAAACGGTCCATCTGGACAAGTCCTGTCCTACGTCCTAGTGGTGGCTGTCGTTGAGCAATAATTTAATTCAATTCCACCTACACTTGGTACTATTCGGTTGCGAGTGTGCAAGCGAATGAACAGCTACAGAACAGGGCCGTGTACAGTTTCTCACTCTCTCCTGTCTCATTCTGCTCTCGTCTCCGTCTTGTGTCTGATTGAATAAACAAAGCTGTATGTGTACAGAGGACAGCCGGCACATTGAAGCTCACTAGTTTAGCAACTTAAAATCCCAGTTGATTCATTGTTCCACAAACTTTTCCACGGGGGGACGCGAGCTTCCCTCGCCTTCTCCCATTCACTGTGTCTTCATCAGGTGTGTTTGATTGGCAGGCGCACTGTGCACGCATTTACACGGGTCGGCGCGAGCTCTCCGCTGTCTTTGCTTGTGCACGTGCACCCTCAGAGTGTTTGTGTGTGTGTTTCTGTCTGCGGGTGCATTGTATGATGTGGACTCTTTTTCTCTTCCTGGTCCAGGAGTCCCCGTCAGGACCCTTAGGCGTCCCTGTGCCCGCCTGCCAAAAACGTCTGCATCTCCTGGACCCCCTCGAGGCAGGGGACAGCCAAATGTCACTTGGACCCTCTACAGAGCGGTGAGTGGCGGACAGGAAGAGGCGGAAGGGGGAGAGGGGGGGGGGGCGGGGCGCGTGGGGTGGGGGGTAAAGGAGGACACGGGGAATTAAATGCGAGGGTGGTAAAAGTCAAAGAGGAGATAGGAGGATACGTAAAGTGGTGGGATGAGGAAATTTAATCAATATAAATGATGTTCAGTTCTTTTTTCAAGTTTTATTTGCTTCCTCTGCGACATGGAATGAAGATGCAGAGACTTGATGAAGGGAGCTCTAACATCTCCAGAGAGATGGGATTTAGTGGAAGATGCTACTTTTGTTTAAAGCTTCAAATCAGTTGAACTCTTCAATGCACTAAATATGGAAACAAAGAACACTCAACATGTTTTTGTCAGTGTCACATGAAAACAAAGGTGACTAAATGGGTCGTGGAACCTGTCGAAAGGTAAAATCTCTGAAATGAATTGAGCCGAGAGGTGGCCAGCTGAATCCACGTTGGTCACTTTTAAAATGAAAGAGTATTGAAAACCACCGGGCATAATGTCACTCCAGCTCCAACAAGGGAAACATATTATATCCGGCGTGTTTTCCATCATACCGCATGTTTGTCACAGATTGTTCTGTGGCGAGGACGCTTTTCCTCAGCAGCTCTAATTTGTTTGGTGTGTAAGGCAATTAAATGTTAAATGCACTGCAACTCATCTAAATGACATCCAGCGATGTATCTGTCAGTCAAGCGTAAAAAAACTCAATGCAGCTTTTTTTTCTTCCTTCCGCCCGTTTCCCCCCATCCATCGCTGCCAGTCCTCTATGCATGTGAACGTGTCCGTCCCTCTGTGTCCATGCATGGGGGACAAAAGACACATGGAGTGTATATTCACACAGACGAATTCCTGATTCGTGGTTTTCTTCATCACTCTTAATAGGAAGATCCAGAAGATGTAACTTAGAATTAGCAGTAAGACGAGGTGTGTAATTAAACAAGTTGTGATTCATTTACAATCCGATGCATAATTCAAGAGAAAAGAATGAACTGGCTGTAACTAGTAGCAGGCTCTCCAAACAGCACCTACACGGCAATTACACATGAGGGTGTGTGTGTGTGTGTGTGTGTGTGTGTGTGTGCATGGGGTTACATCCACTAAGCTAATGGCTGTGTGGACGCGGCTGTCTAAACGTGTTCATCTGTAACATTTTATCCTGGTTCACCTCACTCAGCCACGCGCCACAAGCACACGCACGAGCCCGCGAAGCAGGAGAGGGCAGGAGGGGAGACACAGCAACACGGAGAGGGGGGAGAGGGAGAGAAAAGGATCCACTTTACACAGCAGGGAGCTCCACCAAAACTCTTACAACTCTTTTTGTATTTACATTACATTTAGCTGACGCTTTTATCCAAAGCGACTTACATTGCATTTTTAATCCATGGCGTTTTACATTTTTTCCCCGGGGTAGCAATTAGAGGTAAGGTGTCTTGCCCAGGGACACAGCCGGGGCTTGAACCGCCAACCTTGCGTTTCCCGGCGCACCCTCTCTACCCACAATTCTTTCGTAAAAAATGTAAAGAGCTAATGTCGTGGAGATGGAACGACTGAATGATGCAGATTGATGAGGAACAGAAAGGTGATGGCTGGTGAATAAAAAGGTCCACTCAAGAAAGCGTCACAGTGTGTCGGATGTAACTCAAGAAGAAACCTTATTTTTCTTCTTGATTAAATGTATTCCCATTTAAATGCCAGAAAGCTCTGATTTAATGACATTCATTTCTTTTGATTTAATAATCTAAATTGGAGTTTGATAAACATGGGGTATTATTTAGTGACAAAAAACATTTAAAAAGCTTTAACTTAATATTTTTCATCAGGAGACACAAATACGGAAAGATCTTACGTATATCCTTTTTGGTAGAACGGAGTCCTGACCAAATGTAGAGAAAAGGGAAAATTTTCTCTCAAACTCTCATTTCCAGTGAATTATTTGGAGATGCAGCAACATTTAAAGCCAAGTCTCAATAGGAAGTTGCTACGAAGGCACCGCATTTTAAAACATCCTATTGACAGAAAAACAGGAATCTATTAATGAGACTGTTTCAATAATGACGCTCCAAACTTTTACTGTTGCTCTATTTAACTATGAATCTGAGAATCCGGTGTAGGAAGACGGATCCATTCTGTGGCATTAGACCACTGGCATGCAGTCACAGCGACTAAAGTGTGACCTTTGAGTTTATATTATATTGCATTGGAATATTTTGGAGCTCTGTTTTTTCTTGACCCCTCAACGGGAAGCATTATCTGATGCTTTGAAATGCTTCGGAGTGACTTATAAAGGCCACCATGAGCAATGCAATTACAAACACTGAAAGAGAAATATTTTCCTTTTGGTGTCAGTAAAAGTGCTTAAAATCTGTGATTTGTGCATCTATTCAAGATTGTGACTGAAGTAGCATCACTTTACATAGTTTAATCCTCATTCAGAGCAAAATATTTGGTGTCCACTAATAATGGTTTGACGGTGGTTATGGAATTAAATTAATTACCGTTTCTAATATGTTCATGAAAATATGCACAGTTAATTAAATTGTACAATGTCGTTTCCGCATGTTTATCAGCTATTAATACTTCAGTAAGAAGAACGAGATATGACTTATCTTTATTAGATGTTCGTCTATTTCCCCCTTGTGGCTATTTACTGAAACTACAGCGCAGCCATACTTTAGTGTGGTGATTTTAGATTTACACATCCACAAACTGAAAACCAGGACTAAAATAAACTATTTAATTTGGTGAGACCCTTAGAACGTGGACCACGTAGACTGAGAACTGAGACTTGTGAACGTGTAAGAAAGAGGAGTGCTGAGAGTGTTTCTCAATAATGAAGTAGAATTCGTTATTTGATTTTATTACCAATGTGTCAATACAAATGTTTTTTTGAATGCTTCAGACACGCGAGGCCACAGGAGGATTATCAAAATATCACGCGTTGATAGTCATTTGACTGAAGTTGTACCGTTTCCGAGATATTCGACACGACTGACGGAATACGGCCGACGTTGAGCCGCGTTCCAATTCGTAGCTGGGGGACCTTGGTGAGGTACAAGGCAGACTAGGTGAGCAACTTTCAATAGCATTTTAATCTTTCTTATAGGATATCAACTCTTATAATGTTCCAAAAGGCACCGCTCAGTTTTTAATCACCGCGTTAAGTGAGCTCACGTGCCGCACCTTACTCCGTGAAGTGGTAGTGAACACCTCCACATTTGGAACTCGGCCATGATCGGGTCCGTTGCGTCCCATCGAAACAGGAAGTTTTCAGAGCGCACAGGCGAGCCAGTTAGCCGCGGGCTACATGCGCGCTCTTCACGTTTCAACAAGTGATTGGTATGGTATTGACTATCCGTCATATGACGACAAGCTATAAACTCCGTGACAAGTGTGATTATTTTAGCGGGGATTCCGCATAAACAGCCTGGAGATTAGCCGACTAGCTAGCAGTTAAGCTAACAGTAAACTGGTCACGAAGCACGTAAAATAACGTTTACTGTCAGCGTGCTTTTTCCGCATGATCGTCCACATTGCGTTGCAGTGTCTTTTACCATCATATCGTATTATCTAGCTGACCAGACGGTACCGTAACATGAAGTTATGGAGGAGCGTAAGCTAAAGAGAAAGAGTCCCAGGACCTCCAACAACACCGATGCCCCGACCGGTGGCTCCGGCCGGAAGAACAACGCTTCCTCCGGGGGACGGCACGTCGGCTCCGGCCACAACGCCGGGGCTCGCTCCAGCCAGAGGAACAAAAATAGGAGGTAGCAATGCGGCTGTGACTGTTTTACCAACATTTGGATCCAGTATTTCACCCTTCCTCTTGAAGGGGGACTGTCACGATCTGTAATCGCTGGTGTTCTGTTGTCCGTGTCCCTTTCAGGGGAGGGAGAGACAAACCCAGGCATCACATGGGTGTAGGTGGCAGGTCTGCTCTGAACCAGGGCCAGGCAGCACCGATCATCCAGCACTCCTTTCTGACGGATGTCTCAGATGTTCAGGAGATGGAGAACGGCCTCCTCAGTCTCCTCAACGACTTCCACTCAGGGAAACTACAAGCATTTGGTAATTGTTGGACTTTTCACCAGAAAACATACTATGGCACATGTGTTACCAGCTGCAAACAACCATGCACAACTTTAGAGAGTCATAGATATAGATGACACTGCATGGTAAATGAACCTTTATTATATGTTATGTAAAAGGCCAATAATGCCCCCTTCCTGTCAGACAACGAGTGCTCCATTGGCCAGATGGAGCACGTGAGAGAGATGCAGGAGAGGCTGGCACGTTTGCACTTTGACCTCTACAACGAGGTGGACGAAATGCCCGAGGACCAGAGGAAAGTAGCCTCCGACACCAACATGGACAAATTACTTCTTAATGTAAGACTGACATGGTCCTTTCTATTGTTTGATGACTGTAGCAACAGATGTTGATATGATAATGAGATGAAATGCAGCACATTGAGCTCATTGTGCCGTTGCATGTCATTTATAAAGCACCTCGACATCCCAGCGAGGACTTAGCAGCTTACCCTTCTCCTAAGGGTTAAACTCTTAAAGGGTTTAATTAGATTCTTGTTGCATATTGAACCGGATCAGGTTTAGAAGGTGGTCAAATATTTCGGCAAACTGCTGTAATGTATGAAAGGTGTTCTCTCTCTCCGCAGCTTGAGGAGCTGAGTTCTTCCATGTATCCTTTTGATATTCAACTTGCACCGGTTTCCCCTTGGAAAAATAAAAGAACAACTTCTCTGCCTTCAGGTTCCCCGACCGTCCAGCGTTAATCTTGCGAAGCTCCTCCCACTTTTTGCTGTTGTTCCTTTACTCTGCTTCTCCAGTCAGAAACTGAACCTCGCCGACTCCCAAGAGGTCCCGAGGACTGCCAGTGTGTGATGCGTGCCACTGCAGCAGACACGGTGAAGCCAGTTCCAGGCACCTTTTCTCTTTAAGTATTGTGGCAGTTCACCAGCGACAGTACTGCAGGACGGGTCTCCTGTAAGGCGTCACAGCAGGGATGCACTAGATTCACTGCATTTACTATTTTTATCGTGGAATACTGTAGAATCTGACTAAACGGCAGGATGACAGTAATCAACCTCCTGAGATATGATTTCTTCTGATAAATCAGATACCGGGTTTTCTCACTCTCACAGTTTTATAGAACGAGTAATGTGAATAATATTTTAGGCTACAGTACGATGTAATCTTTAAAAATTTGCAAAGGTAAAGTCACGTTTTTTAAATGGTTTAGATGCGCAATGCATTACTAACCAAAGTGATATTGATATAAACCACTCACCTAGTTTTGTCCAACCAGCGATTCTTCCTTGAAATGAAAATCTTCAGTGTTTATCAGCTTGGATTTAAGTGTGTTGACTTTGACCTTGCTCCTGTAGCTATTCTCAGATGTATATATTTATCAAATCACTCTGTTGCACTTTGTCTTAATTGTTGTCTTGGCTCAATAAGTGTCTTTAATGCCACAAACAAACGACCGGGGGCAAACCTATTAAAATATAACGTTTATAACATAGAGCTACCCAATCATGCATTTTATCTTAGACAATAAAAAAGGTTTCCTGGTGGCATTGTAGTGAAATTTAAACAATAGGAGCTGCGCCGTTCGATAATTAGCAGCAACCCCAGTTTGTGACTTTGCATCTCCTGCTCGATGGGAGCGGCCAGACATCAGCTCCAGCAGCCTGTGTTGTGCCGTGTTGAATATATTTGCACATATCCACAGAACATGCAAAACACATCATCACTAGTGTGTTGGTTTGACGCTTGAAATGACGCTGAAAATTGAGTGTTGACTCACAGCCATGCCTTAATGTTTGATTTAAATATTGTTGCGTTCTACCCTTTTGAATTGACTTGCACGGGGCAGGTTCTGTCTTAAGATAATATCGGATCATTTGATGCTGCTTTAAATGTGAATCCTACTTTATTTTGTCACTTCGTGTTTTAACCAGTGTTGGAGTGTTTTACTAAATGTTTGGTGGTTGTATTTTCATTGCCCTAATAAACATGTGGTCTGAATATACTGGCTACAGCATTTAAGCAATCCATCGTTCCACCTCGTGTCCTCTGTGATGTCATTTTGTACTTGAATCAAAGCAACAAAACTTTGAAGCTACGACTTTAAGAACCCTGCAGATCACAGCATTGTAGAGCTTATGTATCAGGTTCTATTAACACCCGTATTCTCCTCAGTCTTCCTGCGGTATGCAGAAGATATGACACAGTCATAAGTCACTGCATTGATCAATTCATTGTAGTCTGAATGCGGTCATCAGACCAACGAGCTGCGTAATCGCGTGTGATCGCGTGCTTGTACACAGCGTGGACGGCTTTCGTTACTCATTAATGCGCACGAGGCCGTGTGAAGGAACGCGCCCGTCCTGCTGTTGGTGCGTCTCTAAGGTTACGCAGCACAGCGGTTTGTATCCCTGCAGGCCGAGGCGGTGGAGAAGATGGAGGCGAACGCGAGGTCCACCCCTCACGCGGGGAAGCGCGCGCAGCTCGGCGGGACGGACCGCGGCCCGCGGCCCGGGACCCGTTTCAGCAGCTGGACCCCCCTGAACCACAGGGCGGGCAACCTGCAGGTTCGACCCAGCCACTTCGTTTCTGTTGAGGGCCGCGGTGTCGTGTCGCCCCGCAGCCTGCACGAGCCTCGCAGATAAACGCCCCGTTTTAACGCGGGACGAACAGGCTCGCGGGCCAATTAGTCTGATTGCAAACAGGTGCGCAAACCCGCTCTTCTTTTAACTTCCGTTAATGATGACGTTAAGGTAAATCCATTATTTGATCATTTAATTACATATTTGGGAATATTGCGAGGTGGTTAGTAAATGCAATGTAGTAAATGCATATTTGAACTTACTGAACTATTTTACGAAGAGGGGCTTGTAGGAGTCATTCGTTGAATTAATGTTTTTGTCATGTAGCTAACTAACGTTATCTTTCTTTTCAAGCCAGACTCGACTTATAAAAACACAGTCAAGACAAATCAGACAAATTTTCCGCAACTGTTTTCAAGGAAATGTCAATTAACGTACGAATGTAAATTCTTACTAAAATGTATTAATAAAGAATGCATCTACACACAGACCAGTATGATGTCAAAACGACACTACATGGAATTTAAAACTTAAAGTGACTATCTCCACTTGGGATTGATGGCAGATCCCCCTCCGAGAATATCCAGTAAAACCTCAAAATAAAAGCCCTTTAAATCGTATAAAAAGGCTTTAAGGATAACAGACAAGGTGTCAAAGAGAATGATGACATTCTGATATAGGATTTAAAAATGAAAACCTTTCAAAATCTCTTTTGTGACCTAATTTCAAATCATATTAACAAGCCAGTCCATCTGTTGGACTGGATTTAAAATGAAATGGTCAATAGTTAGTTAATAACATGCCATGAGGTGCACCTTCCACATGTTCCTGACTAAGTATAATGCTTTTTTCATGTCCTTTTCCCATCTGCTTGCAGTTATTTGAAGAGAGGACCAACCTTGTGCTGCACTGGTTTGACCTGTGGACCGACAGACAGAGGAAGCACCTGTTGCACTCTCTGTTCACGCGCTGCACTAAGTCCCAGCTCAAGTAAGCGTTCTTGGCCCCTTCATGTCATCATGACATCATGTGTTGACACAACTCTGCATTTTTTCAGGTACTGCAAGGACTTGCTGATGGAGACGGTGCCTGTGACTGAAGCGGACTTCACGTCTGTGCTTCCACGCTTCCTGTCCCTGTATGTGTTGTCATTTCTGTCGCCCAGGGACCTTTGCTCCGCTGCCCAAGTCAGCTGGCACTGGAGGGTCCTTGCAGAGCAGGTGAGAGGCGAGGTGTTTGCGGTTTCCTGCAGTTTGCACCTACTACATTCAGACATCTTGCGTTCCCTCCATCTCCCTCCTCCCAGGACTGTCTCTGGGCTGGCCGCTGCATCTCAAGAGGCTGGTTCCTTCCATACACTCCAGTAGAGAAAGAGTACGGAGCGTGGAAGAGCCACTATGTCTCCTGCGTCTCCACGCTGGACTGGCTCACCCCCAGGGAGGACGCCGAGCGGTACGGGACCCTCAATCGACAAAGCACAGAGACGATAGAAGAGGGTGAGGAGGAGGAGGAGAGGAGGAAGGAGAGGAGGATACGACAGATGATCAGAGACAAACTAAGAAAGGAGAAGGGTGAGTAAAAAAACACAGCAAAAGACACACAATCTCAAAATCCTGCACAGTTATTGAGGTCATCAAAGATGCAGGTTTATTATTTTGTTCTTCACCCGTTGCAGAACACTCTATGAGAACCAGGAAACCCTGGGGCAGCTACACTAAGCCACAAGGAGGTGGAAGGGATCAGACGCGGAGGCCCAACTCTGGAATAACGTCCGTCTCTTTGCCCGCGCTCTCCTGGCCTCAGAGGACTCTGAGGTCTCCCAGCGTCTGTCTCAGCCTGGACAGGGAACAGCCCCTTGCTGCAACCCAGAGCTTGCAGAGAGTCCAGACCTCCAATCCTCACAGGTGATGGTCTGCTGATTTTATAATGCAGCCCAATGTCGGAGCTTGTCTTAGTCATGTTAGACACATCTGTTTACATTGAGACTGAAGCTGTGATGAGAGTGTGAACTAAACCTCCATCATGTTTCAGTGAAAGACTCAGCAAAGCCAGCGGAGCGCTGTCCTCCTTCACCGCCAGACCTCCCCTGCCACAGGTGACCCCTCCTACCCTCTTGCTGCTGATCTCCAACAGAACTCCGGCCTACGAGGTAAATAGTCTTAAGTCAGCATCTATTTAGTATAAGAAAAAAAGTAGTGATGAAGTGTGGAAAAAATAAAAAGGCTCATGGGAAAGTGAGCGTCTCCTATTTCTCCTCGTCTGCTGTTTTCTCCCGGTGCTACATGTAGTTGGTGCTGAGTGGCGTGAAGGATGGCGTGGTTGTGGTTCTGTACGACCACAGAGGGACTCTCCCAGCTTTGTTAGCCCAGGTGGAGAGGACTCTTTCTGGGCAGAGAGCTCAGAGGCTGGGCCTGCTGGCTCCAGGCGGAACGGAGGAAGTCCATCTGCTCCTTGGTGAGAATTAATATTAGTTTGTATCTGAATGTGTGGAAACACTGCCGGGTTCATCAGTTAGGATTCTGTGAAGCACATCTGCTACAACCACTTGATGGCTTCTTTTATTATGATGGAACCTTTTCTACATTGTTATTTTGAACTGTACTGTATATAACTATTAATTCTGTTAACCCCCTAAAGAGCATTACTTTTCTTTCTATGAATCTGAATTCCATTTTGTTTTTTCTTTTGTCGCTTCAGGTTGTAGCCTCTCAGAGAGGACGCTACTGACCCCGGACCATAAAGGATTCTGGGAAAAGCTGGGTGGCTGGGTGGCACCAACTGGGGAAGGTGGAGGGATTGACATCTTCTGCGCGCTGGCTGCTTCTGGTGGGGGAATACAGACACACACACACACACACACACACACACACACACACAGTCTTCTCTGTATCCCTGATCTTCTGCCGCCATCTCACTGACCTCCACTCTCTCCTGCTTTCTCTCTCTTCCTCAGCATCTGGCATTGCTCTCATGCAGACTCTCTCTGCTCTGACGGGTCTGGAGGTTCTAGCGCCGATGGGTTTTGCCGCCGGAAGTTTCCAGAACAGTGAGTCGTCGACTGAAACACCTCCGCAGAAACCGCTTTATTAGACAGCGGCATCTAGCAGCGAGTGTGACATCATTGTCAAGCATGATGTCGACTCCGCAATAAATAGTCTGCTTCTTTCCCCTCTCTCAGTCCTGAGCGAGTGGTCTGACGGCGCCGTGCACACCGGACTCTCGGAGCAGCAGCCGGCCTCCCCGGCACGGCAGTTTGTGTGTGAGAGCGTTCTGCAGGGCTGGTGCAGACAGGCTCAGTGGATGGAGGAGGCTCTGGGGGAGCTGAGGGACTGCCGGGGGCCGCAGTTGCAGAGCGTGAGCCTCCAGGCCAGAGGCCGGGCGCTGGGTGGGTTTCATATGTGTTTGAAGATTTCAACAGCTGGAGCGTTTGCAGGTTAAAACAAATGCCGACGCGGACTGTGTCCTGTAAACCTCCTTACAGGTCATTTCCTTTGGGAGAAGATCTCCCTGGAGGAGCTTTGCGTGTCCAAAGATCTAAGCGAGGCTCTGACGGAGGGACTCACTGCTCTCACAACACAGGGAGAGGTGGGCATGTTTGCTCCACAGGAGCAGAACAAAAATAGAAGGTTATTCATGTGTGTTTTAGGTTGCGGATAACGGTTAACAACTCTTTATTTCTGCTCTCGCATCTTCAGACAAGAACTCTGGAGTTTCTTGCCAGGTTCCTGATAAGATGGAGTAATGAGAAAGAGATGGAGGGAGAAGAGACCCGTGGAGGAGGAAAGGGAGAAAACAAAGGATTGGAGGATTTCTCATTTGCGCTTCACGACTCAAATAAATGTGTCGGCTTGGTACTTGAGCTCCCACAGGTGTGTGCGTGTGACTTTAACATTCAGACGAGGTTGAAGCAGCAGATTAGATTAGATTAGATTCAACTTTATTGTCATTGCACAGGGTACAAGTACTGAGGCAACGAAATGCAGTTTAACATCCAACCAGAGTGCAAAATAGCAATAAGTGCAGAGGATGTGCATATGTAAAGTGTAATAAGTGAATAAATAGATATGTACAGTAAAAAATAGTTGTGCAATATGAACAGTAAGAACAAATAGGCAGAAAACTACTATTTTGCAGATTCTGGAGAGACGCTGAGCCTCGCGTTGTTCACGCGCCGCCATCTTGGAGCAGGCTTCCTCTTTTCATCTCGGGTTCTTTATATCTGTCTTCAGATGGTGTTCGATTGGAGAGGTGCAGCTGCCAGAGAGCTCCACCACAGCGAGTGTCTTTATCTGGGGAGACTGGGCTCCGTGCTGAAGGTGGGTAACTGGTAGACTATAACATGACAAACACCAACAGGAACTTCAGCTGCATGTTGAGAGGCTGAAACTGTGTGAACATCCTAAATAAATGTAGCAGCTGGAACCTTTCAGCAAACTGAGGATTTTATTTAATACCTTTCTAAACTATACATTGGTTGATGCTTTTGCAGCTGCGTGGTGGACTTCTGCCTGCACATGAGATGGATTATTGAGACGTTTCAAGAGCAACCACACACCAAGCACGTGTTGTTTGTTTATTTAGATGCAGCCAAGGCTCAGAGATCTGTCATTATTACATTATATCAATGCACTTATCGGACACTTGCTCTTTTGTGCTGAAGGTGTACCAGGAGCCGCTTACTGCAGCTCTCAACTCAAACAGAGCCATCCTCGGCTACGCTGACATACACATTGTCCTCAGCCCTGTCACACGAGTACTGGAGCTCAACAGGTACACGATCACAAAACATCAAAATATGTGTATGACACTGTCTTGTTTGCGTGCCTGTGTGGACGTGGTCGATGTGCGTTTGCAGGGTGTTTCATGCAGATTTACAGGCCCGGCTGCAGCAGTGGGGTGCAGAGCAGTGTGTTGGAGATGTGCTTGTAAAACTGTGCTCAAAACTCAGGGTCTACACCAACTACCTCAACAATTACACCACTGCCCTCATCACCATCGACAGGGTACGCCAATGCATGATTCCACCAACGGGTTCTGAAGCGTACAGCAGTCTGAGGAAGCTTTGCCTCTGTGTGATCTCAGTGCAGGGAGACGAAGCCTCTGTTTCGGGCTTTCCTGAAGAGAGCGGACAGAACTCTTGCAACACACATGCTGAGGTGAAGTAAACACTCATATTTTATTTTTTTAGAGGAAAGTTATCGTCCATACACCACCAAAACAGTATCAATTGATTGAAGCGTAGTGTGTTTGTGAAGTCTGCAGGAGCTTCTGCTGTGTCCAGCCTGGAGAATTCAGGAGTATGTGACTCTGCTTCAGGTGTTGTCTTCACACACGCACATCAACCACCCTGACCACACACACCTCTGCTCTGCCCTCAACACCCTGCTGGCATTCAGGGAGTTTATACAGAAGGTACAAGCTGCAGCACGGCAGCGTGGAGGCGGGACCTCGCGCTGTGTTTGATTCTGCATTTCTGTGCCGAGTGTCATGAACACGCAGATGTTTGCTTCCGTTTCAGTTGAAGCGCAACTCCGAGAGAGACAGCGTGATGGAGGAGACGCAGCAGATGATCCAAGGCTGCCCGGTAAAACACAGCTCCCTCCTTCTCCTCCACGCTCATAAAATGTATGCGTTTGAGTGCCTTCAATATTTTGTTTGTGTGTGTAGAGCCTCAGTGAAGGAAACAGACAGCTGATAATAACACAGGATGCTGCTTTGCTCAGAAGCTCTGATGAGCAGATTCCTGAGTCGCTCAGGTGCGTGGTGTTTTTTTATTTCCATTCAATGAAATATATATATATATATACATATATTTTTATGCACTTCGGTTTTGACTAAGTGGGTTTGTTTGGCCGCCGGTTAGGACCTACGAGCAGGTGTCCGATGTGGGTCTGTTCCTGTTTAACGACGTCTTGCTGTTGACGCGGCGGAACGTGCGTCACACACCGTTTGCGCTGGCTCACCGCAGCACACACACCTTCCTGGCCTCTGTGGCGCTCTGCAGCCTGGCTGTGAGGGGGCTCATACACACTCGCTGTGAGTTTTCACCATGGAAAGAACACGACGTGGGCTGAATGTTGGCACAACTTTCATTATCTTTGGCCATGTAATGGATTATAGATGTCTTTTCCTGTAGATGTGCGCCATGCTTTTGTCCTGGAGGGTCCTTCTCGTTCTTGGGTTTGTGCCACAGAAAGAGGCGAGGAGAGAGAGCGCTTCCTGTCCGTGCTGCGTTCGGCCATGAACTCTGCCCTGACTCAACACAAGTGACCACGGCAAACCGGCAAGAGGAGGTTTGAGTGCCACTCCTGGCCTTTTCTATATATGTTTAACGGCAATTCTTTTTCCACACCACCCATGACGTAAATACGTTGCACTACCGCCCCTCTGTCTGAATTCCACCTTGAAAGTATTCAGGTTACAGTTTAAAATATTAACAAATATAATGCTGTTGTCACAAAAATACTCAAAAATGGCATAATTGATTGTGATACATTTTTTTTTGCATTTAAAATATTTTGAAAACATTGATTGATACAATCAAAGTATTTTGTCACGTTCTGCACTCTTCACTCTAAATAATTTTTTTTCTTTTATGTATCCATACTTCAACACAATGCTGTTAAGAAAAAAAGCTAAATAAATCACAATACTCAGACAGTCTGGCTGATGTTGCCCGTTAAAATCAAACCGTTATTTCGGCACCGTGTTGTAGCTGAATTGCATTGGATATTAGCAAGTTCTTTGTTTGTTGTTTGTAGTTTCCTGTTTTGCCTGTTGTGTCTTGTACTGTACGCTTACTTACCGTAAACTGGGAACATGTGGGTTTTCCTTGTGTTGTATTCATATCATGCATTAATTCCTTTTATATTAAACCAGTAACATTAGCTGAACAATCCCAGCATCACAAGTAGCGTCTTCTCAGTAGATCCTTTATATCCAGTAACAATTTTAGTAAATTCTATGTCATTTTATCATGTGATTTTTATATAAATATATACTGATTATAATACCAATGATGTATATTTTAACTTCCTTTTTCAAAATGTTGATTACCAAATATATAAACTTGTAGATTTTTTTTCTATGAACATCTTTCATCAATCCTTTCATCTGTTCCAGGTATAAAAAGTTTATTGACACATTTCAGATATGATCACTGTCAAGTAGCTGCATTACGACACATCACTTATACACTTATGTACATTATTGCCACAATAATTAAAAATCTCATTTAATTGCTGCATCATTGTCAGTACGCCGACTAAACATCTTCATTACTGAGAGATCAATACAAAATGATGACAATAGAACAACATGTAGCGTACCTACTGATCAAGTATAACTTCTAACTTCACACCAATCTGTGACATTGGAACTACTTTTTACATTTTTGGTGAGTTTTTTGACAGATAAAGCAGCGTGGAGACATTAAACACATTGACCCAAAACACTGATGTGTGTTGGAGTCTTCAGAGCACCGCAGGTGAAGATTAGGTAATAGTGGAACAGTTATATTCTTAAGACTACAGAACTTTACTCTACTATGATTATTCTTTTCTCTTTTGTCTCATCTGTTATTTAGTTCATTATCGCATGTGACTTTGAGAATGATGTAAGCTGACAGCTTTAACATAATGTGGCATCACAGTCGGCGGTTCACCAGATTTGGGTTGTTGTTGTTGTTGTTGTGCTGATCGTTCCCGCTGACCGGAGGAGCGCCTGGCGGCTGACCCTTGCTCCGCGGCCCCGGGTTCGCCGCCGTGCCGCTGGTGCCCTTCTGGCAGCTGAAGCCCTTTGGCTTGGGGATTCTCGTGGGTCCCGGGCGCCGGATTGCTTCTAGAGGAATCTGTGGATGAAACACGGAAGTAAACGAGTGACTTAAGGCACAGACGAGAAGGGAGAAAGTGGAGTGGTGTGCGGTGCGTCGAATCGCTCCACCAGCTGAAGTGTTTTCAGTAGACTCGTAAAGATGTAATGCTGATGATGACCACTAGATGATATCAGATCCTATCTTATGGGCAGTAAGTGACCACAGTGCCAAACTGTTACCACATGACTGCTGCACTCAGGTTCTGACTAGTGTTCCAATGGAAATCATAACAACCTTTCAATAATGTTGCATATTCATGTTACATTTTAAATAACATATATATGTTATTTGGAATTACTTTTTACATTTTTGGTGAGTTTAATAACATATATATGTTATTTAAAATGTGCTCAACGTTGAAGGCTGCAATAATTGTGTTTTATCTTATTCAGTGTCACATAAGTGTGCTTTCATCAAAGATGAGTTGGAAAGGGAAAAAATCAGGTGATTGTAAAGAGGAATCTATACTGAAAATGATTGTTAGTTGCAGCCCTTGAAATTACATATTGTTTTTTATAGCTGTCTGGAATATCTTAGTTTATCACACTGCTATACACTTATAGCAGTGTGTTTGTTGCCTGGAAACCAGTGTTTGTCTTGAGCAGCACAATCTGCAAACAAGAGAAAATATCGTGGGAAACATCCCATTTCTCAGCTTCTCAAACTGCTTACTGCTGCGCCTGCTGTGTAATCACATTTCAATCAGTGTGTTTACTCGTGCCGCAGCGTGCCAGGAGACTGAGGTAGTATCGGCCCTCACACAGTAGAAACAGTATCCTGTTTACTGTGATAACATGTTTCCATCATCGCCAGTAACCTCAGCAAACGGAGCGCCGCGCACCCCTCACTCGTCCCGTTTTATGCTCCTCTCCTAAATACTCAACCGCGGTGATTTTGATAAACAGACACCGTGTGATACGAGCGATGATCCAAAGTGGAAGAAACTACCTGTTATTTAGTGCAGTACTCAAATATCCCTTCAAAATGTGGGTGAGTTGTAGTGTATTCATTGTTGCATTCAATCTTTTCAAGAAGCAAAAGCACAGCTTGGTTCTTTTTCCGTTGGCATTTTTGCAAAATTAACAATTTTTACACCACCCAAGACAATCTATTGTAATTACTGCACCGTTTTAGATACCTATATGTCCGATTGAGAACGAAGAACCTTTGAGCTCCCTTTTCCACATAATCCCATCGATCCGGTCTACACTTTTGCAGCTGAGTGAAACTCCTCAGTGCTTCCATGAGTTTCTTCGCACCGCTCTACTCTCTATTCCCCAGCAGCGTCCCGCCTGACAAAAGCACTTGGCTGTGTTCAGTTTTTGAGATTTGACAAAAACCCGCAGTGAACTCTATCCTTAAATACTCATACGGGGTATGCATTTCAGAATAAATAGGGCTCATGCTCCAGCGAAAGCTAATGGGCCGGAAAATCTGTACGGGCTGCGCGTCACAGGACTGTTGGCCTTGCTGCTCTCCTCGTATCTATCAGCGGTGCAGCAGGAGTTCAACTAAGTACTTCCTCTGCCCCGCGATGCTGGCCCGGCTGTTCCCACGGCAACCAAACACTGGGGTTTGTTTTGGTGCTGGTGTTGCGGTGGGAGCGAGGCTACTTCCACAGTGTCTGCCCCTTTTCACACGCAGTATGAAGCCTTTTGTTTAGAGAAAAGGCCCCATGCCGCTGCTTATTGTTCTTGCCTGGTTTTTACTGTTGCCTGTAGGTCAACGTGGGCAAACTCCTGCGCGGTTATTAGCATCGTCGGCTAAAAGGAGGAAAACCCGTTCTCGCCTGCAGTGTAATACACAACGCGCCTTGTGGTATTGAAGCTTTATTCTCCGTGGCTGATTCAATCACGTTGGTAATGTGTAAAATTCCATTTCAATTTCATCCCCAAAGAGTGCTGCTTTTAACCAGCGGCGCATTGTGACGTTAGTGACTTGAACCTCTCACTGAGCAAACAGAAGCCTCACCGACTCCGGCCCAGCACGTCACTAGATACTCATTCCATCATTCTGGCAGCAACCAGACGAGTACGGTTTATGAATCGAGAATGTCTAAAGTTGAGTCGGGGTATTTATAATCCCAGCTGCTGGACGCTCTCGCATGCAGTGGTCCAATGAATAGCATCTTGTTTGCATCATCTCATTGCGCTGAGACGGCTTTGTGTCCGGTTTCTCCAGCTGTGCTCCTTCAATTTAATCATCTCTTCTTCGTATCGCTGGTGTGTTTGAGTGTGTGTTTGGGTTAGGGTTTGGTTTTGGGGGTTTTAGAGTTGTCTTTCTCTGTCTAAATGAAACTGATGGCTTGCTGCGCGTGTTTTTCTTTGTTGTCCAGTGAAGAGTAATGTTGCATTGAGTTCAAGCTCTCCAGATTTCTTTTTTATTTTGTTTGTAAGGGGAGGATGAATCCTATATATCGCTGACACTGAATAACAGATGCAACAGAAACCTAATGTTGCTGTTAAACTTGCCACTTACTTTCTATTTAACGTATATATTTTCTTTGATTATCTTTCTATTAAGACAAGACATTAATGAATGTGCTGTGACAGATAATCTCATCCCACTGTATCCTGTCCCACATACCATCATCATCATCATAATCATCATCATCGTCTGACCTTCGGTCCAGATTTCATTTAAAAAAATTGCACGTATGTGGTAATGTTTCCACTGTGGGCACATGTAACCACATGTGGAACAACACATACACATAGAGAAACATTTGTAAGTTGAACTGATGATTCATTTCAAAGCACATGATTCATGGGTGAAATGAAAATAAAACAGAAGTTTTGGGTTACTACCCGGTGAATAGCAAGCTATGGGAGACGTTTCTGCTGAGAGGTTAAACTTTCAACACATATGTGTTTCTGAAACATATGAGCTTTTCCAAAGGGGCTTTTTTATGTCGAAAGTCAGTTTCCTTGTTTTTTTTCCTTTCTCCCGGCACTGAAAGATTTTTTAGGATTTTCTCTGTAATAACATGTAGATGCCAGATGGATGGTTTGTAGAGGAGTGCCCAGGCACAGACTCCCTCGCTTAAGGACACCTCAACATGTGGGATTGTTGCCACGGTAAACTAAAGTATTAATATCTTGGTTTGTGATGGAGGCCCAGAGAGGGATTAACGCGTGTCATCTTGTGGCCTCAGCTGTGATCACGTCTCAGTTGTAACCTTTTTTCAGTAACCTTCTGTCCTTACGGCGCTTCAGAATTAAAACAAAGTCCAGTGCAGAAGACCAACAGTAATTCTACCATATCGTGGACTTTTTTAGAATCTTCACAGCAGCTTAGTGGCGAACCAGTGTGAGGTTTCTGTTTGTGATTATGAAGATCACCATGGTTTTCATTCTCAGCCTCTGAGGTTTTTTTTGTGCTGTTTGAAGAAACTATGACATCAGTCTATGATTTTAACTCGAGCAAGCAAACCCGTGAGAATCCCAGAAGGTTGTTTCTGTTTGTCCTGTAATCCGTTCAGAAGCACAAAGGTTATTCCAGACAAATCTTCCACTTGGGTATCATTTAATTACGTCTAACAGTCTTTATGTTCCAATCTGAGGAAGTGAATTGTAATCTTTTCATTAAATACGGTGTAACGTGAAGACATTTGATTGACATCTCTCTTGTTAAGAAGTTACAGTGCATGCACCCAAAATATAATCAAACGACTAATTTCGATCTAATCACATTGTCTCGCATTACTTTTTTAAGTTTACACTTTCAGAACATGCTGGATTTAGTGAGTAAATGAAATATGCAAGCATGGATGACAAATTAGAAAACATAACATTTCTTTTTTCACACTTTAATTCTCATAAAATCCCCAAACTTAATCATAATGCAGTATGTGTAATATGAAGTATAAAAACTGGTATGATACATCAGTGTGAGTAATCAGACTACTTGGCAAATTTGCCACTGAGTACAATACAGTAAGTGCACATAAATTAAAACCTGTTGGTATGTTACGCTGTAGTGCTTTCAGATGGCACCGTGTTCTCATGCAGACAAACACTTGTTGGAACTTAATCACACAGAACCAAGCAAAGCAACCAAAGTAAAAAAGGAAACATTCAAACATGGGTTCCAGGGTGGGTCATACATCAAGTAAAACAGACATGTAAATGTATGGGGGTTTAGAGTCGGGGTTTAAGGGTCAATGGTTGAATTGGGTCTCACGGGCAGGATTCCGCAACAATGGATGGGATGGAGGGTCTTTGGGATTATCAAGTCAATCATAGACATTACTTACTGTAATTTGTGATGGTCTTTGGATTGGGGTGGAGGTGGGCTTAATTGTGATGCTACTTGTGATTTTGCTGTTGCCTTTTGCAGCAGGAGCGCTGCAGTTTGCAGTCGGAGTCCTTTGCTCCGGGGGTCCGGGTGTGTGGCATGGACTCAGTGTTTGTGACGGCGTGCTGAAGCTCTGAATGAAGGGGCTGCCTAAGTGAATGTGGATTTTGTTGTCCTCCGTGGTGATGACGTTGGGCCCGGAGCTGTTTGACCTCTGGACCTGCCAGTTGCTCTGCCTTTCTGGGGTCACGCGGAAGATGGCGTGCCCTCCAAGGACCTCCGCCGGCTCCGCGGAGATGGAGCGTTCGGGGGTGCCCGTCATCACTGACACGATCTGTATCGGTGACATGGCTCTGTCTGGGGTCACGGAGCCACAGGAGTCCGGAGTCATTGCTCTGGAGTACGTGGCCACAGCGAATGGGGATAGAGCCCTGTCGGGGGAACACAGCTCGTCGGAGATCGGGGAACCTTTGGATTTCGGGGAAAGGGATTTAGCGGTCGGGGAAATAGAAGCGTTCTGGATGATGGTAATTCTCTGTTTGGGTGGACCTCCGCTTGTGGGTATGACGGCAGTGCTGGTGAACGACTGGATGTTCTCCGCGGTGGGACTGGTGATCTCTAGCGTTGCTGTGTTGAGTCCGTGGTCGGGAGTCACTTTGATGTGCAGAGGCTGCCCGGGACTGTGGGTCAGCACGACGTCTCCCGGCTGAACGTGGTTGCCGTTCTGCCGCGGCGGCACTTTCCCGTTGACGTCTTTGTTTTTCAGGAACGGGACTCGGGCTCTTCTCAAGTTGTTTAGGTTGTTGACATTGGTAATCAGTGCCGGGCTGCACTTGGTGAGCTGAATCTCGTTGCTGTAATTGGCGTTATCCCCAGGTTCGCTCTCGTCGTACAGCTTCCCGTTCACCGCGGGTCGCTCCAGCGGTGCCGTTGTCGTGCAGCCGGGAAACGCGCCGTCAGGGGGCTCCGTTTGAACTTCCTTGGTTGAAACATGAAGGTCGGAAAAGCGCCTTCCATTCATGCCGGGACGAAGACTTTTGCTGAAGCGCCTGTATCTCTCAAGCTCCCTCGTGAGTGTCTCCATTTCTCTGGCCAGTTCTTTGTTCCGGACCTCCTGCTGGGTCAGTTTCCTCTGCAGGGCAGAGTGGTCAGTTTTCATGTGTGAGAACGACTCCTCTGCTCCCATGTATTCATGAATCTTCTCTTTCAGAGCCGCCACCTCTCTGGTCAAATGACTGGACTTTGCCTCCTCGTCCTTCAGGCGTTTGTAAAGAACATGCTCCTGGTTGCACTCTTTCTTTTCAGCCAGTTGGTACTTTGAAAGTTCATTTCTGGATATGTCCAGCTCTTCCATCAAGGCTCTACCTTTTTCTTGTTCATTGGTGAATCTTTTCTCCAGGGATTCAAACGCCTCGGTTTTTAGGAGGTCTCCCTCTACCGCCATCATGTCCTTTAAGTTGTGTCTGAGGCGCTCGACCTCCTGCGTCAAGTCCTTCACTTTGTTGTCTTCTTGCTGGAAGCGGTACGCAATGGGTGCTTTGATGTTCTCCTCTTTAGCTTTGCTCCTCACGTGTTCTCTTTCTATGTTCTCAAGCGATTGCAACCTTTTCTTCATCATGTTGATTTTAGACTCTGAATCGTTGCTCTTTTTCTCTTCAGCGAGCAACTTGGCCTTCAAGTCATCCCTTTCCTTTGTAGCGCTGCACATTTTCTCCTCCAGCTCAGCATTGGACCTCAGCGCTTTCTTGCTCTCCTCAATTAGCTTCTCTGTGACTGACGTAACCTTGTCCTGCTCAGCCTGAAGTTTGCCAGTGCTGCTCTGGACCTTGGTGTCCATTTGCTTCAGCTTCTCGGCCATGCCTTTCCTCTCATCCACCAGCATGACTGTCAGAGTCTTCAACTTGGTTAGATCTTCCTTCAGGGTCAGCTCTGTCTTTCCCAGTTGGCTTTCAGCGGCCTCCAGTTCTTTGACCCTGACCTTCAAGACTTCCAGGTCACTGGTCAGGACCTTGGACACTGTCCTCTCCTTCTCCAGGTTACTTTTCAGTGAGTTGCATTCTTGTTTGCTCTTGCTGAACGCGTCCTCTAATTTCTCCAAGTCCATAATTCTGTGGTTCAGTTTATCAAGCTCAGCCTTCAAGCTCCGGCTTTGATTGGCCTCCTTCTCCAGTTTCTTGTTGAGGTCCCTGCAGTGGTCTTCCATTCTGATCAGCTCTTCGTCCTTGCCCTCCATTTCAAGGACCCTTTTGCGTAGCTCTTCGAGCTCAGACATGAGGCTGGAGTTTCCACACTCACCCAGGCTGATTTTGTCCCTCAGCTCCTGCAGCTCCTCCTCAGCTCGACGCAGGGTCTTGTTGGTCTCCTCCAGCTCATCCAGCTGCCTGCTGAGAGTCGACAGCTTCTGGCGCAGTTGCCTGCTTTGGCCGTCCTCGCTGGTCAGTTTGGCCGTCATTGCCTCTTGTTCCTGATGGTAACGAGCGCCTTGGTCACGCAGCTCAGCCTCCAGGCGAAAGACCTTTTGCTGCTCTTCCTGCAGACGGGCATTAGCTGAGCTCAGCTCCTCCTGGGCTCGTGACGCACTGGCACTCAGCTCCTGGACCTGCGCCGTTTGCTGATTCAGCTGCTCGGTGAGACGCTGCTGTTCATCCACAACAATCAACGCAAACGACTTGAGTTTTGTCAGCTCCTCCTTCAGACTTGTGACCTTTTGGTGATTCTCGTCGTCCTTTCTTTCTTGGTAGGCCTTATCCTGATCAATTAACAGCTTCAACCTGCAAAAAAACAAACGAGACAAAGGTGTTTTTTGAGCAATACAATTCAAACTTTCATATACAATCTATAAGCTACATTAATTTTCTTAACTTTCGAGTGAATATTGGAGCAGCACATATTTAAACCATGGAAAAATGTAAAATGTCAGACTTTGTATTTGCTTATTTTATATATGAAAGATGCACAATAAACTCTACACCCCCTCTGTCTTTACCTATTGGGCCCTCGTCATCAAGCAGTGACACATCATAAACACTGTTATTTCCCCGCATTTCTGAGGTGGACTAACGTTTTTATGTCATGGAAAATTTAACACCTCATAAAAAATATTACTTTGACTTTCTCAGGTTTGGAGTCTGAAATACTAGTGGTTGCATTTCTTTTTGTTCCCTTGTTGCCAACTAATTCTCCTATGGTTTGGAAACCTGAGTTACTGCCGTAAATATCAGGCCTTGAGTTTAATAATCAGTTTCCACAGTATTTGACGGTGTAACATGTGGTCGATCAAGTCCTCCGGGAAATAATGTGAAAAGAAAGGCCGCCAAATTTGAACAATGGCCTCTGAAAATGGTCTCTCCATATACGATTAGCAATACAATTGAAACGATGAGGACATTTCTGATAAGGATTATGTCCGAATTCACCACCACACACTACAAAAATCAAAGGCCGTACGGTTACAAATCGCTTTGAAAGCAGCAAAGACATTTATATTTCTGCTTTCATCTAATATTTCTACCTGCAGTACCCGGATGGGTTACAAAGCACCCATGTTATGTCAGGGTACAGTGCACACGCCATTCCATGTAGCTGCAGTGTGCAGATGGGTTTAGAACAGGGCACACATGCCTCCGGTCCCTGTGGAAGGTACGTTATGTCTGAGTGTATTCAGCTGCCAGGCATTTCCACACAGATGGCCCGCTGGCACCAAGCAATCCTTTAATTAAGGGGTTCCTCTCTCCTACCAACCCTCCTCCCCGCTTACCAAAACCAGCAGCCACCCTCCCTGTTTTGTTTTTTCTATACATTTAAAGGAATTCCCCCGGCTTCAAAGGCAATTACAGTCCCACAGAGTTCATACAGAACCCCCCCCCCCACACACACACACACATACACTTATTCCACATGTACACTTGGATTGTGGGGATGACGTAAGTGTGAAAGGGTGGGTCACTTAACAGCAGTATGTTACTTCTTACTCCGGTAGCTGCTAAACGGGGGGGAGCGGCGGGGGGGGGGGGGGGGGAAAAAGAAGCTTCTCCCTTTGCTGGCGATTAGATCCCAAAAAACACACTATTGAAATTTATAAACCGGCTTGCAGACTACGGCCGCGCTGAGGGGTTGGTAAACTATTTTAATTCCCCTTATGCTTTAGAGGATCTCTTGAAACACCTCGGGGAAAGAACACGGCGTTGGTTGCAAAAGGAAATTTTCTTTCAACGGATTGTGCAGGTAGAAACACAAAATGACTCAGTGAAACAAGCAGACATCTTTCCTAGCCTGCCGCTTCTAATCACTGTTTATTCAATCTTTTATCTCAGTCCTTACTGTTTTTCTAGTGATGTCATCAGCCAGAATAGAAATAGGAATGTATTCAGTTCCATTTTAGGGAAGGGAAATTCTGTTGTAATTGCTTCTAAGTCCTAAACCGGTCTAGTAGGGCTCTCTGGACTATTAAAGGCAAATCCTTTGAGAGGAAACGACATGACTCATGTGCCCGAATCGCGCTGCCTGCCTTCCACCAGTGACCTCCCTTCTAGCCCTTTGGGATGTATGTACTAGGAAATGTTGGCCCAGAGCAACCGGTATTAATTGTAGTTCGATATCATTTTGTGTTATTTAGTTGGAGGGACAGTAGAGTCCTCTTTGGTCCCAACCATACTCACCAGAGTAGTAATAGAAGCAGTAGTAATCAAATCAAATTAGCAGCTGTTGCCAACTGTGTTGAGGGAATACATAAATATATCAGCTGATGCACGAAGCATTTCTCCACATGTCTCTCTTTTTATCTCACGGTGTTTAAGAGAACCGTAAAGTTTGAAAGAACAATGTTTTGGAGGAATAAATAGTAAAGTGCTGCCATCAGTATTTCAAGCCCCTGGCCACCCACGGCAGCCTGCAGTGGTTTTCCCTTAAAACGGATGCATGGCCGCCGTCGGGGGTCGTTAATGTGTCGTCGAAATGAGGGTTGCACAGATTTCCGGGGTGAGTTAGAGGCCCAAAGTGAGATCTCTTAACTTTACAGGGTTGATTCTTTGTTGCAAACGTGTGTTTGCCTGCTACCATTACTGACGTTAAAAGAAAGAAAAATAAACATCCATTTGGGAACAGTCTGGAAGACTTAAATAGCCACAGCTTCACAGAGGGCTTCCCTCTCGTCACGTGGCTCCCTGAGCTGGAAACTGTGGCTCACCCGCCTCTTAAAACCGTGTTACACGTTCCATATGTCATTTCCTAACCACAAGTGATTAGGTCATGTACGTACAGGCCGATATATCCCGCGCATCCACACATGGCCACCTCCGCTTCAACATGTGGACGGAGGGCGGAAAGCCCACATGTGGGACGGAGTTTGGAGGGCGGGCGCTGATTGATGCAGTGTGTGCACCGTACGTAAAGTCCACACAGGCTAAGTGATTTGCCCCCAGAGTGCAATCAACATGTGTCAAATATGTAAGTCTGATTTTTATGAACTTCCTGATAGTGGCGGTAATCTGGCTAAGGGACAGTCACGCTCCCAAAAGGTGGCGAGATGTGAGTCCGAAACCGTCGTTTATTAATGAGTAAGATGACACAGTGTTTGTGCATTAACATTATGGAGCTGTTTGCTAGTAACCAATTACATTTAGTGCTGTGCAAGTGTGAGGTACTCGTACTTTACTGAAGTGTTTCCATGTTCTGCTGCTTCATAATTCAACTCCACTACATCTCACAGGAAAATATCCTACTTTTTAGTAATACAAACATGTGAATAAACTAATCATTAGCTAAGTTAAAGTTACCCACACGTTTAACATGAAAAAATGGACGATATATATATATATATATATATATATATATATATATATATATAAAAAATATATATATACATTCATATATGGGTCTTTACTAAATGTGGCCCACAATTACTAGCTGGAAAATGAAGGGGCAAAGTCAGTACTTTATTTTAATCCAAATACTTTTTACTTTTACTAAAGTAATACTTTGATGTAAAAGACATGGAATCCTCTTTTAAAACCATAGATGATTCTTTCCCCTAAACTCAAGTTCTTGAAGTGACTTTTAATTAAATTCTTATTAGTACTAGTATTTACTGAATATACGTTGTTACTGTTAAGCAGATAAGATTTTGTCTTATTATAAATTATTAAAGCCCCTGAAAGTAATTGATTCCTTAAAATACCTGTAATGCCCTTTTGGTGCCGTTCTAAAAAACAATGGACAGTCCATAACGCCAGAAATTAAATATATTACGATCAGAATGTTTAGTGTAGTGTCTCCCGTACTGTTCCTGGTATACTGTGTTTTTACTTTACTCTCCCACATGATCTTTGCACTTTTGTATCTCATGTGCAAACTAAGTTGTCAGTATGAAAAACGATGTGAAAAAATGTGACACGCTCTTACCGATAAGTGTGAGATTAATTACTGTACAAATAGCGAATATCTACTTCATGACAGAATAGTTACTCCCAAATGTGCTTCAAAATGTCGTTTTAAAAATACTTTAAGCTTCCTTGATTTTGGTAAATACTTTGAGTTACTGGCGCTTTGCTGACTTAAAAAACATTCCATTAAGTGTGTAAAACTTCTTTGGCTGGTCGATTTAAAGATAAAGGTTTGAGAATAAACTTACGTAAACTACACAACAAATTGTAAGCCAAAAGTGCTGTTAAAAACACACTGTATGAAACTTAGTAGAACAAAGTACACACAACAGCAGCGTGAAACAATGCTGCGCCGAACATGTGCGTCTGTGCGTCTCCAATTCAATCAAAAAAAGTACTTTTTAAAGTGGAGTTGAGAGTTTAGTTTTAAAGCCTACCTGTGCCGAAAGCTTTCCCCTCTTCACCGCCGCGAGCTCATTATCTTCCCGTACAACAGCGACCCTCGACTCTTCCTCCGTGTGTGTGTCTCACGCGCCCAGCGCTCGTAATGTGGGCATTCCTCAGACCAAACAATGAGGGATGTGCTCCCTGCCTATGGACCATTACATCATCAGCATGCCCTTATATGGAGCTTCGCATCGCAGAGGCTCGCATGAAGAGGTTGCGCTTGCTCGCGTGGTGTGTACCTGTGCCTGTGTACTTCTGGGTGTTTTTTAGGGAGTGTCCCGAAGCGATTGTTTATCTTAAGGATGTAGCGGAGAAGAGGGAACGGTGGCTCGTGTGTGAAATATCTGCCAGGCGGCAGGGCAGTGGGAGACGAGAGACGCAGAGACTGAGTTACAGTATTTCCTTCTGCCTCTCGTCAAAGTCTTTTATTCCACCAAAGAGGAAGCAAAAAAAGAATTGGTTTTCATAGTTAATAAGAAGTCTTGCAAGGGGATTTGTAATTGAAACCAGAGCTGTTGAACAAGACAAGACATGCAAGACGTATCTTTGACGTGTGACATGTGTATTCACATTTAGCTTAGCATAAAGAAAGGCGACAAAGGGAACCTGCTAGCCTGGTTATATTTAAAAGTAAATACTAAAATAACAGCTTTAAAGGTCACACTCATATCTTGTTTTTCTGGCATACAAATGCAAGTGTATAAAAGTACTGGTTTCTCTCTAAAATGTAGTTAAAATAAAGGCAAAACTCCTAAAATGATATCCCTAATGCGCAGTCCTCGATTGCATGTACTTGCAAGTTACTTTCCACCTCTAATACAGAGTTCCTCTCTGCTACCAACATTGTGAGAACATCTGAGCAGGGTTGGGTTGTTCCTACCTGTGGGTGTAAACGCGGCTTTAAGCTAATGGCTCCGCAAATAGAATAATGGATTTTCATGCAG